TAATAAGTGGGGGGAAAGTGTGGATTTAATTGGAGAGGGGGGGGGGGCAGATCTGGGACTCCAACAAAACGATCCTCAGGGAATGAGGGTCAGGCCTGGATCGTCCTCAGCCACTTGATGGCAGCGGGTGCCCAAAACACTTCCCTTTTCCCCCAATAATTTCAGCTGAATTGGTAAGAAATATCCCTTTTCCCCGGAAATTTGGGGTGTCCGTAGTCCCCCAGTGCAGGGCTGGCGATTGGATGCAAAGGGATTTTGTGGGTGAAAGGCTCCAAGGGCTGGGAGGGAGGGATGGACAACGGCCAGACAGAGGGATGCAGTGGGACAGGGGATGGACACAAAACCAGGGAGGGGCTCTGGGATCATCCCAGGGACTGTCCAGGGACAGCGGGATGATCCCGGAGGCCCCAGACAGACAATCCACACCCTGCCCAGACAGCTCTGCCGAGGGTTAATGAGCAGCTTTGTCATTAATTAGCTCAGGAGCCCGAGCCTTGAGGCCATTTTGCCTCAAAATTAGGCAGGAGCCATCCCTGGATTCACATCCCACTTCTGGATCCGGAGCTGGTGGAAGGAGATGCCCAATTTTTGGGCAGTGACACCACCCCCCCCCAGTTCCAACGCTCCCTCCCATGCTCCTTGTTTCCACAGCATCCCCTCCCCAAATTACCAACACCTCCCTTCCACCTCTCCAGGACAGGATTTTCCCACCTGGAAATGAAGCAAAGAGTTCCAAAGAACCACTGGGTACCAGTATTCCCATTTTGGCCCAAATCACCTGGATCCCAATCCCATGGATCCCGAAGAACCACTGGGTACCAACCAGTATCCTCATTTTAGCTCCATATCACCTGGATCCCATCCCCATGGATCCCAAAGGACTGCTGGATACCATTATCCCTATTTCAGCCCTATATCACCTGGATCCCAACCCTGTGGATCTCAAAGAACCACTGAGTACCAGTGGCCCCATTTTGGCCCTACATCACCCGGATCCTAACCCTATGGATCCCAAAAAACCACTGGGTATCAACCAGTATCCCCATTTTGGCTCCATATCACCTGGATCCCATCCCCACGGATCCCAAAGAACCACTGGGTACCAGTATCCTCATTTTGGCCCAAATCACCTGGATCCCATCCCCACGGATCCCAAAGAACCACTGGGTACCAGTAGTCCCATTTTGGCTTCAGATCACCTCAATCCCATTCCCACAAATCCCAAAGGACTGCTGGATACCATTATCCCTATTTCAGCCCTGTATCACCTGGATCCCATCCCCATGGATTCCAAAGAACCACTGGCTACCAGTATCACCATTTTGGGGACATATCACCTGGATATGTGGTGATTTTGGGGACATATCACCTGGTACCCAGTATCCTCATTTGGCCCTATATCACCTGGATACCAGTCCCATGGATCCCAAAGAACCACTGGGTACCAGTGTCCCTATTTTGGCCCTATATCACCTGGATACCAACCAGTATCCCCATTTTGACCCTATATCACCTGGATCCCAACCCCATGGATCCCAAAGCCCTGCTGGGTACCAGTATTCCCATTTTGGGAATACATCACCTGGGTATATCACCCAGCATCCCCATTTTGACCCTGTATCACCT